AAGGAGGAGGAGAAGGAGGAGGAGGAAGAGGAGGAAGAGATGGAGGAGAAGAGGAATGTTATGAGAGAGGTGTGGTGGCACACACCTGTAATTTCAGTACTCAGAGGTCTGAGGCAGGAAGATCACAAGTTCAAGGCAGTCCTGGACTACATATGACTCTGGCTCAAAGAAAATGAAAAGCATATGATATGCAAAAATCCCCCATAAAGGCACCAGCAACATGAATTCAACAACAGAGTAAAAACATTAGGTACCGTGACCAAAAGCTTTCATCAGGCTCCACCTCCAGAGGTTCTGCCCCCTGAGTAGTGGTGCAGGCTGCTGACTCAGCCTTTAGCTCATGGCCTTCGGGGGACATTCAACATGCAAACCATAATGCATGCCAAGAGCCAACAACAGGGAAAAGACAGCGTGTTCAGTAAGTGGTTCTGGGAATATTAGATATCCACACACAAGAGAATAAAATTGGACTTTTATCCCAAAGACAAAAATCAACTCAAAATGGATTAAAGACTGAAACATAAGAACTAAAATCATAATATTTCTAGAAAAAAAAAGCCACATAAGGAGAAGTCATCTTCACATTGCATTGGCAGTGATAGTTTGGATGTGACACCAAAAGAACAGGCAACAAAAGTAAAGAACAAAAACCAAAACAACAAAAAACCACAAGTGGGACTACAACAAACTGCAAAGCTTTTGCACAGCAAAGGAAACAACCAACAAAATGAAAGGTGGCCTGTGCTAGGCAAGTGCTCTCCTCAGCAAAAAGCAGCCCATGGGCTGGGAGAAAATACATGCAAACCATATATCTGGTAAGGTTTAAAGGCATCATAATGATTAAGATTGTTACATGCCTGTACCAACTCCCCAAAATGAGCATACTGTTCTGTATTACAAGCATAAAAGGGGGGAAAAGGAATTGTAGGATCATTAAAAAACAAACAAAACATAAAACAAAATATAAAAGGAACTCACGACTCAATAGCAGAAAACCAAGCAACAGAATTTAAGACTGGACAAAACATCCGAGTAGTCATTTCTGAAAAGATACACAAACACCCAGGAGATACATACAGGGAAAAACTTAGCACAATGCAAGGGTCAGGGAAACTAAAACGTCACTACACTATCAGCTTTGTGAAATAATAATACAGATTCCAGTTCTGCTCCTGGTTCCTACTGCAAATCTCTTAAAATCCTTACAATTTCAGAGTGCTAGTGCATCGGATACAGAGCTCCTAAATCCCTTGGAATTTTGGGATGATAGCATTTTTATTCTAATGGAAATGGAGTTAATAATCAGCTGTGCTGGAATTGCCCAGCCGCCATAAAAACCCCTGACCTTTGGCACGAAGGCCACTTCCAGGCTGGGAGGTCGATGCGCCCTGATTCCACGGGGACAGAAGCTCCCACCTGGGGGACCCTGGCAGATGTTACCCATGCTCCTCCTCACCTGGCTGTTCACCTGGCCCCTTGTCATCTCCTCTACTCGCGTAATTAACCAGTAAACATCTGTGAACGCCTCCCTGGGCTGTGTGACCCAGCTTAGCAAATTAACCAGACTCAGAAAGTTGGTCAGAAGCAGAGGCCACAGCCTGGGCCCTTGCAGGCTGGGATGGGAATGTCCCCATTATGGAAAGCTCTGTGTCGTTCCCGCAAAAAGAAAGAACTTACAAATGGCACCACCATGTGTGGTGGCATCCCACGCCCAGGGTGAGGCCCACAGCTCAGACAGGCCTGCTCTCCCCATCCCAGTGTCCCCCACAATAGAGGCCCGATGTCAGCAGATGTGTGGAGGAAGGAACAGAGCCATCGTGTGTACAGGGTCACTTGTCCCATGAAAAGGACACCCTGCCATTTGTGCCAAGGGAAGGAAACTGGAGGACATTAAGCTAAGAAATGAGAGATGCAAGAAAAAATACTGCACAACCTCACTCGTTTGTGGAGTTTAAAAAAAGCCAAGTACGCAGCAGCAGCAAGTGGGGTGGTGAGGACAGGGGCGATGCTGGGTATGGGTGCGAAGCTCCAATGTACAGGGTGAGAAAGTCATGACACCCTGCACAGGGCCGAGACTGCAGGGACAATTCGGGTTGTGCATTGGAGTCACCGGTGGACAATTTCAGGCGCATGCATGCATGGAAAGGTCACAGGTGAGGACAGGCTGGTTAGCTCATTGCCACACTGTGTGTCTGTAAAAAACCTTGCATTGTACACCTAAATATATACAATTTTATTTCAAAAACAATAGAAATTTTGAAAAGCATGTGCTAGCATACACAAGGCCCTGATTTCAACTCTGAGGCAGGAAAGACTGTGTGATTCCACGCTTGGGTCCAAAAGAACGTACAACAGGGACTGCACTGCTGTCCCATGCCCGAGTCCCTTCCATGCCATTCCCGGCAGCAAGGGTAGAGCAGCCCAGGGTCCCTCAACAGAGGAACCAGACGCCAAAGGCAACACAGATACAAGTGGAACACGAGCAGCAGCAGTAATGAAGTGTTGATTCGTGGAACATAACATAACACGGTTGAATTTGTGTTGTTTCTGTTTTGTTTCATTGGAGATGGGCCCTTGCCATGTTGTCCAGACTGGTTTTGAACTTTCCACCCTCCAGCCTTGGCCTCCTGCAAGCTGGTGTCACAGGCGCACACCACCATACTCCACCAATGCGGGTGAATCCTGAAAACAGGATGCAAAATAGATAAGCCAGCCATGTATTCGTAGGATGCCGCTTACGTGGAATGCTTTGAATAGGCAAATTCTTCAAGCCAGGAAGTAGATGAGAGCTTGTTAGGGGGTCGGGGAGGGGAAAATAATGAGTTATTGCTTAATTGTTGCAGGCTTTCTCTTTCTTTAGTGTGATAAAAGATTTTGGAACCAGATTATGGCGATGGTTATGCAACATTAAATATAATTAATGCCACTGAGCCATACAAGTAAAAACAATCGAAAATGTCTCGACGTGGTAGCACACAATGGTAATCCCAGCACTCAGGACGGAGGCTGAGGCAGGAGGATTGCCGAGAGTTCAAGGCCAGCCTGGGCTACAGAGAGAGACCCTGTCTCAACCCCTCCCCCCCAAAAAGATTCAAATGTCCAGACCCTTTTGCAGAGGACAAGTTAGGTCTCTCTCCCTACTGCCCAACTCCTCTATGGAACTTGGAGTGTCAAGGATGACTGCCGCCTCCCATTTCCCTGGTGCCTGGAAGAAACCTTTCAGAAATAATAATCCAGACTGCTGAGTAAAATCAAATCTGAAGTGCTAAGTGCTGAAGAGAAACATAAACTAGGGAAGGGGGAAAGGCAGTGGGGAATGAGGATTTTGTTGATATCTCAGGTACAGTGGTCGAGAAGAGTCTCAGCTGCCAGGGCATCTGAGGGGACAGGAAATAAATGCAGGGCTGGGCTGTAAGGATACACAAGACCGGGCATCCTGGGCCAGGACCAGGGCCAGGGCCAGGGCAGAGGTTGGACGTGTGCTCCTGGTGTGCAAGGGAAGGTGTTGACGGAGATGGGGTCAGATGGGGCAGCGGTGAGTGTCTGGGTGAGAGCGGACTGCACTGAACCAGGGTGAGCCAGAAGGCAGCCGAAGCTGACTCCCGAGCATTCAGCTCAGGTGGGTGTGCAGGGCATGGGAGGGCCACTGCTGGTACCTGGGGAGGGGTCACAAGCTCTGCAGCCACGCCAGGCCGGGCATGGGATTTAGGGCTCCCAGGTCTTCAGGTGAGCAACTGGAAGGAAGATGCTGCCATTGGAGACACTGATGCATGGGGAGGGAGGGAGGGAGGACAGGAGGTGGGGACCCAGCGTCCTCTGACAGAGGAGGTGAGTTCCCATGCCCTGATGGGGAGGGAGGAGGAAAACCTCAGGGGACCACATGCAGGAGGGCAGGAACTCCAACCCTCATCGGAAAAGCCCAGCCTGTTCCCCTTATTCACTGGAGTCAGTTTAACCAGGATTCTGTCCAGTGAAATAAACATTTTGGTATTTGGGTGGCATCGCTTCCTCTGACTTCAAATTAAAGATTTTTTTAACAGAAAAGATAGCTCATTCCAAATCTCTTTGGTGTAAACACCAATTCTTGTAAGGCAACCAAAAAGAGAAACATGGGCGGGGGATTTAGCTCAGTGGTTCTGCTGCTTGCCTTGAAAGCACAAGGACCCGAGTTCGATCCCCAGTACCAAAAAAACAAAACAAAAAACCAAAAAAAAAAAAATGCGTGGATTGGAAAGCAGAAACTTCTATATCCTGAATCCTATATAACCGAGTGTACTTGTTTGGGCATAAAGCAGGGGCAGGTAGTGCCTGTCCCTAGTGCTGCTACTTAGATGCT